ACGGAGCTGGGGCGTCTGGCCCTCCTGAAGGCTCCCCATCCACACCCACCGGGAGACCACGGCCGCCCCAAGAGGCTCTGGGGCCTGGAGCCGGGCGCGGGAGGGGGGGCAGTGAGCAGGGCCAGGGCCACGCAGGAGGGTCTCTGCTGACTCCATCTCCCTCTGCTCCCTCGCAGCCGGCCACTGCCCCAGCCCAGGCATCCCCGTGGGCTCGGTGCGGACGGGGTCCCGATTTGGCCTTGGGGACAAGGTCAACTACCGCTGCTCCTCGAATCTGGTGCTGACGGGGTCGGCAGAGCGGGAGTGCCAGGACAGCGGGGTCTGGAGCGGGACCGAGCCCATCTGCCGCCGTGAGTAGCTGCCCTGCCCGTCCCCAGACTCTTGGCACCGCCCACGCCGACCCCGGTGGCTCTTCCCACAGAGCCCTACTCGTACGACTTTCCTGAGGACGTGGCCCCTGCGCTGGGCACCTCCTTGTCCCACCTGCTTGGATCCACCAATCCCACCCAGAAGAAGAAGGGTGAGTGCTGGTGGCGGACAGCAGGCGGCTGGGCAGACTGCTCGGGGCTCGGCCTCCTCTGGGCGCAGCAGGGCTGAGCTGACTGCAGGGGAGGCCTTGGCAAGAGAGCAGGGTGGGGGAAGACACGAGTTCCCCCTCCATATTTCTCCCAGAAAGCGTGGGCCGAAAAATCCAAATCCAGCGATCTGGTCACCTGAACCTCTACCTGCTCCTGGACGCCTCTCAGAGCGTGAAGGAGGAAGACTTCAGGATCTTCAAGGAGAGCGCCATCCTCATGGTGGACAGGGTCAGGGACCAGGCGCCGTGCGGAGCGTCCCTTGCTCAGACCCCCTCACAGCCCAGCTCCTTCAAGGAGGCTTCCCCATTCCATGAGGAATCATGGGTTCAATTTATAGGGTCACGTTTTTTCCACAAACACCTATGTGTCCGGCACCATGGTGGGTGCTGGGTGCTGTGCTGGGGGACACCAATGATGACCAACCCGGGGTCCCCATTTCCAGGAATTCGTCTTCTAGAACAGGGGTCTCCCCAGAGGGGTGCACAGATAACCCACTGGGTGCGGCAGAAAAATCCAGGTATCCCTGCTGAACAATTTAATTTAAATCAATAGCTTGATATTTAATAATTTGAAAACATTTCAATATTTTGCGTGTTTACAGTGATACACGTTATGAGTAGGAGTGCAGTTTACAAGCACATATACCTTTATGGGTGCTGTGCCCCGAGTCCCTGCTGACGAGATGCACACACAGGAGCGTTTGGAAGCCGTGGTTTAGTCATTGCCCACACTTGCTTGGTGTCTGTGCTTCTCACAGTAGTTGATGTAGATGTGGCCTCTCCTCCGGCTACATTTTAGAGAAAGAGGTTCTGTGTTCCTCAGCGTCTCTCTTAGGACCTAAACTTAGGTCACTTACTGAGCCACGAGGCTGCAAATACGGCCATTGGGTGCCTCACGGTTGCACCAGCAGGTTCAAATCCTCCCTCGACCTCTTACCAGTGGCGTGAGCTGGGGGAAGGCCAAAGCCTCAGTTTCCTCCTGTGTAAAGGAGGGGCCTCCTGCCCCTCACAGAGTTTCTGTGAAAATTAAATGAGGCCAGTCGCTCAGTTGGTTGGCGCATCATCCCAATACCAAGGTTGCAGGCTGGTCTCCAGGCGCAGACGGGAGGAGCCGATGGGTGTAGCAATGGGTGGGACACACGTCAATCTCCCCCCTCCCCTCTGTCTCTAAAATCAATTAAAAAAAGATTAAAGAGGAGCGAGCCCATCAACGGGAGCAGATGGTCAGCAAACACCGGTTTCCGGAGCTCTTGCAAGCAGCAGTGTCTTCCCCCGCATGATTTTGGTTGATGTCGGAGCGGAAGGGAGAGGGAGAGAGACATCAATGATGAGAGAGAATCATTGATCGGCTGCCTCCTGCCTCTCCCTCCCCTGCACAGATCTTCAGCTTTGAGATCAATGTGAGTGTCGCCATCATCACCTTTGCGTCAAAGCCCAAAATCATCATGTCTGTCCTGGATGACAATTCCCGTGACGGGACTGAAGTGATCTACCGTCTGGAAAACATCAACTATAGAGGTGTGGTGTCGTCCGATGAAGGTGGGAGCGGGGGGTGGGTCCGCAGCCGACCCATCTGGACAAGTTAGAGAGAGGGGGTCTCTTGGCGGCAACCAAGGCTCAGGGCTCCGGGGCTCTGGCTCCTCAGGCTCAGGTGGGGGGCCCCCGCCCCGCCAGCCCCCACCTTCCTCCAATGTGCTGCACAGCCAGGGCGTCGCGCAGGCCTGGTCCTCCCGATGCCAGAGCCACACGCCTGGCTTTCGTGGCTCAGTGCTCGTCTCCCAGGTCGTGGTAAACTCCCGCAGGACAGGCTGCAGACGCTAACAACACCCAAGTTTGCGTCTGGAAACCCCATCTTTGCATCCGGGGACGTTAGTGTGACCTTGGGTTGAGGTCATGCAATGAGGCCTTCTAAGGGGAATGGCTCTTAACGCCTGAGCAGGCAACGTGCCAGATCCCCACCTGGGACCCACGGTCTGGGCTTCTCAAACCAGCGGATAATTTATCTCCAGCTGTTAGGGAAATAGGGTGATTTTCTACTCCCCTCCTCTTTGCATGTTGCAGACCATGAAAATGGAACCGGGACCAACATCTATAAGGCACTACACAGTGTTTACATCATGATGAATAACCAAATGCAACGCCTGGGCATGAGCACCTCGGCCTGGAAGGAAATCCGGCACGCCATCATCCTTCTCACAGACGGTGGGTGCCATCGTCTCTGTGGGGGTTGTCGTCTCTGTGGGGGTCGTCGTCTCTGGCACAGTAGCAGCAGCATCATGGAGGGGTCAGAAGACCTGCATTCTGATTCCCCCTGGGCCACTTGGCCTGTTTCTTACTTATCAAGTAGAAATAGTGACAACAGTGATGACGAGGACAACAGTGATGGAAACATTAGCTGCCTTCCGTTCCTTACACAATTTTTGTGGACAGAAATTAAGTCGTTTGCGTAAAGGTGCTTTGTGATTATAATGCTGGTTATTGTCACTACCTGGAGGTCACCACTCCGGACCGTGAGGTCCCGGCGCCTCGGACGGCGACTCTGCCGTGGATCTGGGCTCTGTCCTGGAGCTTGATTTTGCCCACATTATGCCACCCATCAGGAGTGTGGTCTTGTCTATGCGACGAGGGTACCCACACCTCCTGGGGCTTCCTGAGAATTAAATGAAATAAAGTAAACGAAGCTGGTGGCCCAGTGCCTGCGACACAGACTTTCAGTAAAAACTCGGTAGAAAGTGCAGGGTGCTGGGGGGCCCAGCCTCCCTCCTTGGGCACGGGGGGCCTGAAAGAGGCCACCAGGCGAAAAAATTCTTTCCCTCCCCTGTCCCAGGAAAGGCCAATATAGGGGGCTCTTCCCAAGCCAAGCTTGTGGAGAATATCAAAGAAGGGCTTTGAACATCAACCAGGAGGAGGAGGGGAGTACCTTGGGGAAGCCCAAACCCTTGCCGCGGGTGGACTGGCCCCCCCCGGGGGGGGTGCCCGAAGGCGTGGGGTCCGAACGTTGTTATTTTTTGGAAGGG